TTCATGTACAAATCTACTCAAGCATTTGTCATTTCCCTGGTGACTTAACATCCTCCCTGTGCCTTGGGACCTCAAATTATATTAAGCAAAGTAGATGCTTAAACTCTTTTATTTAGTTTAATCGTTGGTCTCATTCCACTTGCTCAGATTATTTGGGCTCATTTAAAATTAGCCCTCCTGTCTCCTTGATGCATTAAAATAGGAAGGAGGGAAATTTCTTTTTAGAACCCATTGCATTCTGAGGATGAATGCAAATTATCCTACTATGATTCTTAATGACCCACTATTAACATAGTAGGAAGCCCAGTGCATTAATGCAATGCCACTTTTCACATCATTACTCCTAATGGAACTGTTACCAGGATAATAGCTTGACCTTTAGCTATAGATTCTGATAGCAAAATATATTCTGCTTACTCCATACCTCTATTCCCATAGTGTATCAGCTGTTTTTACATCAATGCAATGTCGTCTTTGGGCCTTGTTTTAAGGTCTCATCTGCGATTGTAATGGAGAGAATAGAATTTCATCTTCAATAGGTAAATTCTAGTTAAAAGTCCCTTTGAAGTTTGGATATAATCCATGAATCAGAATGTCAATAATGTGCCTGGTGGAAGTATTTGTTTGTGTAGGCATTTTTTTTTGAGAAGTCTGTGCTGTGCCTTCAAAGATCTTAGTCACGGGCCCAGGGGACAGTGATTTTTCTAGCATTTTTCTATTGAAAGCAGAAAAGTTTTAACTGAAAGAAGAAAAAAATGAGCAGAAGCTGTTGCCTTTTTAAGTGAGTGATGGGCTTCTGAGCTCAAGGTTAGATTGTAAGTTCTCGTGGAGTGAGAGAGAGCATCCCCAGCCTTCACTTTGGTTCTCCCACACACCACTGCGGGCACACATGGAGCCCTGCGGGCACTGGCATAGCCCGGGACTACTTTGTTATTTTGGAACCACAACTTGCTAATGTGTGATAATTTGAGCACAAGCATTTCACAATCTAAGAAAAGAGGTTGCTATGGAAATTAATTGTATACATAGCATTATAAGTGGAAAGATGTTTACCTCATTAAGATAGTCTATTCAGTTGTTTTTATAGTATGCTTTTCCATATAAGTGAATAGAATGCTAGATACAAACGCATTATTTTCATAATTTTATTTATTAAAACAGAACTTCAAGCACCTTTTGTCAGTTCTTCAGTTAGTAAATGTTATTGTGAGCATTTGAGTATAATAAAACCTTTTTTATTTAAATAGGTTTGACTAATTAAGACTTCCTGCTAATTCCAATAGGTCATTTTCTAATTAGTCTACATTTTTTGAGTTTCTGTTATCTGTTAACATTAGAAACAAGACTAGGAACTCTATTGATTCATTCACCACATGTTTCTTGAGCTTCTTCACTGTACTGGCTACTTGAAGGAAGACAGAGAAATGAAGGAGCTTGTGTAGGAAGTTGAAAGCACATCTCTGCCCGGGAATGTGGCTTGTTTCCTCTGCTCTTTGCTGTCCTTTGCCCTGCGGACCTCCAGTGGGTCACCTGGTTCATGCTGCCCTACTCCTTGATTCTGCTTCCTAACCATCTCCCGCCCCCACTCATGTAAGGCTGTGATGGACCTTTCCATGAAGGCTTTTAGGAGATCTGTACATCTTCCCTCCAACAACGTGGTGACTCACTCCCCTGAACACATGAAAATCCGTCTGATCCCGGGCCACATGGTGTCAGGAGCTCAGTAGTCATGCCTTTCCCTGCTGCTTGCTAGCCCACGTCACTCAACATCACACCGTCACTCAGCATCCTCCCACACCGCTCTGCTCTGCATCCCATCAGACTATTCTGAATGTTTGCTACTGCTGTCTAACCCCTGCCCGCCAACCCATTGGTATCTCCACTTACTGATGTGGGTGGCATCTCAGAGTCTGTCCGTCAGTCCCTCTCTGCTGTCCTTTTCCTAACATCTTCGAGTGCTTTAAGCCCCCGTTCTGCTGCTGAAACTGTTCAGCTAATCCTAACCCTAGGCCATCCTAATAGCCCCCTGTAGACTGCTGCACCCCATTCACTGTTTAGCACCTTACTGCTTGTCCTCAGCCTGTCACTGGCCCGTGGTCAGCAACAATTCCAAACCTTCCCACACTCTTCATCTCCATGGCGCCTCAGCACTGAGCTCACGGAGTCTCTGGAGCCTAGAGCCTCCCGTCTAGAGCCCCTTCTTGTCAGCACATCTCCTCATCCTCTGGCTTTCCATCTTGTTTGTAGGTGGCCCCTCTGCTTCAGTCCTATAACCCATCACCTCTAGTTCCTCCAAGATGGCTCCTCGAATCATCCCTACCTTTTTCCCATGTCTTATTTCCATCTGCCACGCTGCCTGCTCACACAGCCTACCAACACCCTTCATCCTTCCTCTCCCCCTCTCCCGGAGTCCAGGCGTTTCAAGAGTGATGTTGGTGGCTACTCCCTCAGTGGCCCTCAGCGGACACTTGCCTAGCCACTGTCTCACTGCGCTCTGGAGCCACTTGTCACCTTGACAAGACTATTGCTGAGTCCCTTGGCTTTGCAGTCATCCTGGTCTTCCTTGTGGGCTTCTCTGCCTCCATCATCTACTCCTAAGCACTGTCTTCTCCACAGCCTGTGCTCAGACAGGTGCCTTTCACTCCATACGTTCTCTCTTCGTAAGTTTTTCTATTCATTGTTTTAACTACCACATATACAACGGGCTCTTCGTGTTCAGTGAGTTTAGCATCCACAGATTGAACCAATCAGGGACTGAAAATACTCAAGGAGGAAAAAAACCCAGCATGTCACACACACATACACACACATTTACCTTGATGCTGGCAGCATAGCTCAGTGGTAAAGTGCATGTTTTAACATGTCGGCTTTCACTGGACAGTGGTGGTACACACCTTTAAATCCCAACACTTGGGAGGCAGAGGCAGATGGATCTCTGAGTTCAAGGCCAGCCTGGTCTGCAGAGAGAGTTCCAAGAGTATGGACTTTTTTCTCATGATTATTCCCTAAATAACACAACAATACAACAACTTATTTAGTATTGACATTGTATTAATTAACATTGAGTAATCTAAATTTGATTTAAAGTATATGATGATGGCACAGGTGATGCATCATTTGTAAAATTATCTTCCAGCCAGGTGGTGGTGGCACACACCTTTAATCCCAGCACTCTGGAGGCAGAGACAGGTGAATCTCTGTGAGTTCCAGGCCAGCCTGGTCTACAGAGTGAGATCCAGGACAGGCACCAAAACTACACAGAGAAACCCTGTCTCGAAAAACCAAAAAATAAGTAAATAAATAAAATGAAAAAAAAAAAGATTATCTTCCAGGGTCTTGGAACTGATTCCTATAGACGCAGAGATGGCGATGTCCTTGACCCAGCCTCTTTCCCTGCGCTGCTCTGTCTACCTTTCCTCTGGCCACATCATGTGGTTGCTCCACAAACAGTCCACCCAAAGTCTGTGGTGTTCCACCTTTACCTCACCTTCTGTGGTCACTATGTCATGTGTTTTGCCACAGAGTGTCAGTCACCTGCCCTAGATGCTTGATCAACTGGGACAAGTGTTAGCTTCTGAAAGGGAACCCCTCTCCCTGTGGCCTGCAGATCCATCCTGTACACTTGAACTGCTTGCATCTGAGTTCACACACAGTTTTTTTCCTCTTCCTGGTATTTCCTTAGGACATGATTTTAGAAGTAACATTACTGATCAGTGGTGTAACCATTTTATAGATCTCATTAGTTTTATTCTTATTTCTCAAGAAAAAAAATCCCATTTTTATGCTAATAGTAATGTTTGATTGGGCCAGGTCACCACAGTTTTGCTATTATCAAATACAGCCTTTTTGACCTTGTTTTTCTAACTTAGGATAGGTATACAATGTGTGCTTTTCGGTTCTTTGATTTTCCTATTAGTTGAACGTTTTCCCTAGTGTTCTGTACTTCAAATACACTATTGATCTATGGGATTATTGAACTTGCTCTTTTATTTGAGTGCACTCTTTAAAGAACATTCTGAGACATATAATGTGGCCAGATTTTGTAGCTCTTTTAAAATGTTCGTTTTTTTGTTGAATGGGAATTTCAATTTTTGTATAGTTAAATCTGTCAATATTTTCCTGTGCATTTCTTTTGAAAGAGACCTTTTAACACATTGAAATTAGCAGCGTTTTAAATATCACAAGGGCAGTGTGCTGGGACTGCTTCCTGACCTCACAGGCACAGACAGCAGCAAGGTAAGGAGGAGAATTGACTAGTGCTCAGGAACAAAGCCAGGCAGAAATGTTCACTCCACACCTCACATATTATAGGACTTTCCTGGGATCATTTCCTGCCTCTCTTTTGTCCTGCCCTGTGATTCTTAGCACCTAATAGGGCCAGTCTTTGCTCATATCTAATGCAGTATGCAGGGTGTTGATTCCTACCTAGGCCGAATCGTAGAATTTCAGCAAGATGGACAGCAATATTATTTCCGTTGAGTACTGAGTTCTTACGGATCAGAGTGAGAACATCTCTGTGCAGTGCTGCATTTGATTTTGAGTTGACACCACAGACAAAGTCATTTAGCACATTTGCTCAATTCTGTTATGAATGGGCCTGGCAGAGCCACATGAAGCGTTGTCCTCTCTGCCCATCCAACACATGCACACACACAAAGAACAGTTTCCACACAAACTGCTTGGTGTTTCCAGCAGTTTCATGTTAAGCACAAGCCATCATAGATAGCCAGTGCTCAGCTGCTCGCCATCTTCACCGAAAGAGCATAGTGCCACTGCAGACGATGTGTCCTGTGGGTCTGGCATCCTGAGAAGTTCACTGCAGGGCTGAGGAAGAAGCGTGTGGTAGAGCACATGTGCTCGTGCCTCGGATTAATTCCCAGCACCGGCAAAGAAACAACAAAAGACATAGAGTTGTTTTGTCCTTAGACCATCTTCCTATTTTGTTCTGCATCCTCTTGTTGCTGTTAAAGTATTTAGTAGCATTTCATGTTTTCTTTCAGTCTTTACAGAAAAGTACTGTACTGCGAACCATGTGGATAAACTTCCTGGCCCAAGAGACTGGGTACAGATTCTGCAGGATCAAATTAAACTGGCCAGAAGAAGGTTAAAAAGAGGCTCAGGTATGAATAAGCTGGGAAAGAAGCCATTGTGGAAGAACTTTGTTGAACCCTCGCCTTTTAAAACAGTGCTCTCTCTCTCGGGCATTGTGGCGTCCTTTGCCTCTTGAAGGAGACGTTCTATGTAGTGTGCTCTGGTTGGCTCTAGTGAATTTTGAAAGTTGTCTTAAGATTGAATAGTAAAAATTATGTAGGCCATTTGCTTTTAATAGTGTAAGAGGAAAAGATTGCTAATCTCATCTGTGGCCTAATGTGTTTCACATGCAGAACTGAGTCTTCTGTGGTTTGCTTTTATCTAACTATTGATTTCTGTTTGTTTATATCTACATGAGTTTTTAAGGGACTAATTGCTCAAAGTTTAAAAAGGGGTGGGGGGAGTAGCAGGATGGTCCATGCCTTTAATTCCAGCCCTTGAGCTAGAGACAGAGCTCTCCGTGAGTTTGAGGCCAGCCTGGTCTACAGAGTGAGTTCCAGGACAGCCAGGGCTATGTGGAGGGACCCTGTTTCAAAAATCCAAAATAAGCAAAATTCATCCTGTCAGCAATACCACATCAAGTTGGAAGGAATTTAAGGGGTGTGCATGTGCATGTGTTTGTGCGTGCGCGCGCACATGTGAGCATGTTTGAAACTTGAGAGTTGGCAGCTTGGCAGCTATTTTTCTAGGCAAAGAGAATACCAGTTGAATTGTGACTATATAGATTCAGTCATCGAAGTCTCAGCCTCCCAAATCTGACTGTGTATACCACCTTACCAGTTAGAAATCCCTTTGGGGTCAGTTTTCTCCTATCATCCAAGAATAGTTATCTCTACTAGATCACAAGTCTCTAGGTTTTATTTCTAAATTTCATGTAAATTAGTATATCTGTTATAAAAAAAAATAGGGAGATTTCTCAAAAACAATAAAAATAGGGTCTCAGGGAGATAGCTCTGTTGGTAATTTGTTGACCTTGTAAGTACAAGGAGTTAAGTTCCCAGAACCCATATAAGAAAATAAGTAAATAATAAAGCATGCCCTTGTAATCTCAGCACTGGATCCATACGGCAGGCTGGCCGGCCATCTTAGCTCACTTGATGAGTTCCAATCCAGTGAGAGACAGCACCTGAATAACAATACCTGAGGTTGTTCTCTGGTGCCACACATACACACACACACACACACACACACATACACACACACACACACACACACAAATTTTTTAATAAAAGTATATTCCTATGTTCATGGAGGCATTTTCCTAACAGCTTCTAAAACATAGAATCAACATCAGCATCCACTTTACCAGATCATTGATAAAGAAAATGTGCTGTGTATACGTGTCTTCCAAAAGAAGGAATGCCCTGGTTTGCATCACCATGGGGAACATTATGTTAAGGATAGTGAACGGGCACAGAAATGCAGGTACCACGGACTCGCACTGAGGAATCTGAAGAAGCTGGACTCACAGAAGCAGAGCAGAGAGAGTGATGGTCAGTCACCAAGAGCCTGGGGGTCTGGGAGAATGTTGGGCAAAGGAACATTTCAGTTAGACAAAAGGAGTGAGAGTGATTATGTGACGTCATGACTCACAGGGTTATTTATAATATCCTTGAAAATAATTGAGCTCATATCATGTATTTTCTTAAAGTATGTGAATGATACATAGATTAATTCACACATTTACCATTCTACATGTGTATGATTTCAAAAATACCATGTTGTATATCATAAATATGCATGTTTTTTGTATTAAAAGAGAATTTATTAGGTTTGCTTCCATAATAGGTTTAGAATGGTTCAACAGTAGAGAGTCTCAGAACCCAATGGTTATTCGGTCCTTGGGGCTGGGTTCCCCTCCCCACCCCCACATCCACTCTGCCCTCATAGTCCTACTCCGAATGAAGGCTGGGGACTCCCAGAGAGCATCTCTTCCCTAGTCAACATGAGAATCCTAAAGAAGCTGTTTCTAACGTCAGCAAAAGGAGGCAGCACCAGCAGCAGCAGCAGCAGCAGCAAGGTAGATGAATTCACCAGTGAAAGCAAAGGCCAAGAGAGGAAAAAAACTTTCCTCTCGTGTCTTTTATCCAAGCAGCTACTACAAAGTTCTGCCCACATTCAGAGTGGATCTTCCCACATAATTAAGGCAGTCTCCCACAGGCCACATCATCTTAACAGTGCCTTGAGATTCTTCCCAAGCTCATCTAGGTGTGTCACGTTGATAGTTCAAGCTAACCCCACACTCATGCACTAGTATTTGGCCTCTTGCAGAAAGGAACTGCCCTGACACATGAACTTAGTTTATGTCTTTTTTATTATTATTAAATTTATTGCATGATTTTTATTAAGTGAAAATGAAGTCCAGATCACCTTTACAGCCAGCCTTGGGGATCTGCATGGCTGGAGCGTTAGACAGTTCGGAAGGTAGACTTGGGGACTGGGGTGCTCCTCATTTAAGATGCTGTGGAGGTGTGTGAGGGTACACTCCGCATCTCTGAGTCTTTGATGCTGCCATAGCAGAACAACTGAGTCTCTTCATTTTAATGAACAGAAGTTTATTGGCTCACAGTTCTGGAGGCTGGAAACCTAAGGCTGAGGGCTTTCTTGCTGCATCAGCCCATGAAAGAAAGGCGTAGAGAAAGTGAGAGAGAGGGAAAGGGAGGACAAACTCACCCTTCCTCAGTGGCAGGGCTGCGTCCTGGCCACCCCTCATCAGACTTCTCCCAGCACTGCTATCTAAGGATTGAGCCTCCAGTACCTCATCTTTGGGGGACACATTCAGACCATAGCAATCTGTAGCGGGTGCTTGTTAGTTGAATCCTTCCAAGCGCAGCCCTGTCGCCAGCCTCGGACTCGACAGCCAAGCTGGCCTTCTCTGTGGCACCAAACCTGGCTGCTCTCTCCCACCCTTCACAAGCACTGCAGAGCCTCCCTTCTCCTGAAACCTTCAGTAGAGGCTCCAGCACCCCGACTTCTGTCGCCTGTAGGGTCCCTTTCCTGTTCCCTGGATGATAAACTCCTCAAAACAGCAGGGTCTGCTTCTAAGTCATGTTTGTGTCCCACATGACGGTGTGAGCCAGGGCTGACTCTCAAGAAATATTTGAGTGAATCAAGAACACGTCAGTAATTACAAAAAGGAAGACACAGCGGTCCGCAACAAACACCTTGTTTTCCTGGTCAGAAGAGGAAATCCTGCAGAGTAGTGTAGGAAGTAGTTTCTCACTTACGGTTCAAAGGTTGATTCCGTTCCCTGTAGACCATGGGCAGCAGTGTCCTGAACTCTGCCCCCTGGAGGAAAGTCCTTCAGACCCCTAGTGTCGCTTCATGGCATCACCTCAGAATCCTCCTAGTTCTGCTTCGTCAGCACTTTCTCTCACTTCCTTCTCCGGTTCAGCTTTTGTACTTCCTTTCCGGTCTCTTTTCTTCTCCCGTCCTCCCCCAGAGATTCAGAGTCCCACATTCCGTGGACTCACCTCATCCAGGAGATGAACCTCCTAACGTGACTTTCCACTCGGGTGCATGCTTCTGCCCTAAGTCACATCACAAAAGCCCCTCCCCTGTAGTACTTGATACCCATCTCCCACTCCTGGGAGGGACTAAGACAGCAATAGGAAGGAAAGAAGAAGAAAGGAAAGAGGAAATGCACAGGTGAGAGACCCGTAAGTGGCCCCATTGGATCGACCCAGTATTAGTCCTGACTGGGCAGTGATGTGTTCCTTCAGTTTTATAGGCAGGCAGGTTTCAAGCCTTGGGCCTGAGTGGCACCTGTGCCAGTAAGTATGAAGTTGGTTTGTGTTTCCTAGCTTCTGCCTTGAACGGCTCAGCTGTTGGATATGTAAGGACTTCATCCATGTGCATCTGAAAGGAGAAGTTGTTGGCCCAAAATACAAAAACACCAAATATTCAGATTTGAGAGAAATACAAACGTCATGAGGAAGAGAGATAAATCTAGTATCAGCAAGAGAGGACCAGCGATCCACAAGTCAGCCCCCTTACTGCCTCTGCCACACCCTGCTGCCAGATGTGTACTGACTTCAGACGTCCCCATAGGCCAGCAACTACCTGCGCATGCGGCTGCTCCCTTTCCATTTCCTGGGGACTGGTGAGAATGAACAGGAAACTGTGAGAATTGTGTCAGCTTCTTGAGATTTTTGTTTGTTTGTTTGTTTTGTTTTTCAAGACAGGGTTTCTCTATGTAGCTTTGGCGCCTGACCTGGAACTCATTCTGTAGCCCAGGCTGGCCTCAAACTCACAGAGATCCGTCTGCCTTTGCCTCCCGAGTGCTGAGATTAAAGGCGTAAGCCACCATGGCCCAGATCACTCCTTGGGATTTTAAGGAAAAGGAAATATCTGGACCCAGACTAATGATGCTCCTAGCTACAACACTACAGGACTGCCTGGAAAAAGACAGGGTTTTTGTGTCCCAGGGCTGGCACCTCTGGAGGAAAAGAAAGTCCTGTCGGACCTAAAAATGGTCCATTTTAAGAAAATCTGTAAAGGCGGGAGTCATAGAAAGTCAGGACACTGGAGGAGGCTATTCCTATGGAAAAGAAATGCACAGTCCTGCTGTACTACAAGGTGAAAACAGTCCTCCATGTCACCTGTGTGGGTTTCTCATCACTGTGACCAAGCACATGACAAAGGGCACTCAAGGGAGGCTCTGTTTGGGTTCAGTTTGAAGAGATGTAGTCCATCTTGATGAGGAAGGAGACTTTCTGGTGGCAGGAATGTCATTGGGACTCCTCATCCCCTCACATCTCTGAAAAACAGAAAGTAGAGCCGCTCCGGTCGGAACCAGGAAACCAGGCCCAGGCTCTAGCCCATCAGCCTACTCCCAGTCACCTCCTTCTGCCAGCCAGGCCTCCTAAAGGTGTCACAGCATCCCAAAACAGTGCCACCAGCTAGGAAGCAAGTATTCAGACACAGGAGGCCAGTGCGGGGCAGGGGGCTGCCGATCTGAATCCTTCCTTTGTCAGATGCTGAGACCAAGGTCAAGGGTCCTGGTCTCTCTTGCCTTTCCACTCTTCACACCAGCACACACATCTGCACACGGAAGGGACGCACCCCTGCATTTCCCTCCATCCTTACCCCACACTGGCCAGTGACTATTACTTAAGCATCACAGCATTTCTGTTAATAATTTGCATCCCAAATGTACACACACACACACACACACACACACACCTACCTGTTTCTCCAGAAGGAGACCTAGACTGCTGCATGCTCCCCAACTCCCCCTTTCCTATGGAAGCCCTTCACTGCTTAGCTCAGGAGATTGACTTGAGACATCAGCGCAAGGATATGACTTGAGACATTGGAACATTTGATCAGCAGGTTTACATACATGCTCTACCTGGACATTTATGATGTGTTGAGTAGACTGTCTTAACCACTGAGAAGGAAGGTGCCTCTAAGAAAGAACCACCCTGACATCTGGGCCAAACTCGATCAAAGGATGGCACCCCAGCCATGGCAGACAGAGTTTGTTTCTGTGTGTGAAACACTGGTCCACTTCCTCTATAGCACAAAGCTGAGAGACTCCAGCAAACAGATGAGAACACTTGCCCTTCCTGAATGAGGCCAGGCTCTAGAATGTGACTGGCTCTGGGATTTTCATCTTGATTATTTTCCATCAAAATGATAATACAGTGTGTTAAAGGTATTCCACAACTTCCACAGCCTTATTTATCATCCTTGGCTCAGTTCCTAGAACTGGGTCCAGACTCCGACCAGACGGAGCTAATCAGCTCACCACGTAGGGAAGCCTGTGCTGCCTGGAGGAGAAAGCGATGTCCCACACGACTGGAAAGGTCGTTATGCAAATCCAAACAAATTCATTTGGGGCTCTCATCACATGTAATAATTTTTTTCTATAACTAGAATTCCGTTCCTGGTGTGGATTTTTATCATCTTTATTAGATTACTTCCTCAGAGCTGAAATCACAATTTATTGTTTGCGTTAGATCCAGGGGTAAAGCTGTCACTGCTACTAAATTTTTATTGGACTTGCTCAGTCTTTTCCAAATTTTACAACTTGATCATCGCCAGAGAAGAGAGGCTGTGAGCTTGTTGTTACAGACGGGTGTTATAATTAACACCCTGATGTTCTTCACCCATGACACTTGCCCTGCACATGCAGCCAGCATATATGAATTTATATGGTTTACATATATTTAGGTTATACATTCTGACAAAATATATAAACTAAGTATATGTAAACTATGTATGTTCTGTTCTGTCAAAAGTACATGATCGTGGAGGTTTGCATATAAAAGGTATGGGTGGGGCTGGAGAGATGGCTCAGAGGTTAAGACCACGGGCTGCTCTTCCAGAGGTCCTGAGTTCAATTCCCAGCAACCACATGACGGCTCACAAAAAATATGGGCAGGAGATGGAGAGATGACTCAGCAGTTAACACCATGGCTGTTCTTCCAGAGAACCTGGGTTCAATTCCCAGACCTCCACAGTGGCTCACAACAGGCTGTAACTCCAGTTCCCGGAGATCCCCTGCCCTCTTCTGCCCTCCACAGGCTCCGGTACACAAGTGGTAAATGGACATACATGCAAGCAAAACACTAATACACAAAATTGTTAAATATATTATTTTTAAGTAAGGGTAGCTGAATTACAAAGGAAGGCCACCTCAGACCCCAAACTAATTTTTGTCAAAACTAAACGAAAAGCAGACGTATGTTAAGGTAGAAGAAGTTACTAAAATAAAAAGTGAACTAGAATTTGAAGACTTTAAAAACTGCACATGGGCTGTATATGTATTATTGAGAGCCGGAGATTGACAGTCCAGACTCGAAGCCCGTTCTTACCTTTGGCATTGTCCCTTAGTAGCCATAATTTAGTTTCCTCCCCTCTGATTCCTCTATTAAACCAAGCATAGCATCAGACATACCCATAAGACTTTCTATCAGTCAGATGACAAATAGCACACAAAGTACTCAATTATTATTGAGGCCATTTATTATTACTGAAGAATTTTTAAGCTCTGCTAATAAGACAACTACGATGTAAACCGCCTGCCTTTCGGCTTCATTGAAACCAGTCAGAAGGAAATGGTGATTTCTAAATAGAAAAGGCATTCATTGTTTCTTAACATATAAAAAGTTTTTTCAAAAACCCTAAGAACCAAGCTAAGGAACTGGATCCATGGGTAAAGTGTTTGCTGCACAAGCAGGAAAACTTGGGTTTGGATCCTCAGCAGCACCCTTATAAAGCAGCCAGATGTGATAGTGCACATCTGTAACGCCAGCACTTAGATGCTGGTAGATGCGGGCAGATCCCAGGGCTCACTGACTGGCCAGTCTAGCTAAAACTGCTAGCTACAGGTTCAGTAAGAGAACTTATCCCAAAAATTAATGTCAAGAGTGACAGAGGAAGACACCTGACAACCTGGGGTCTCCGTGTGTGCAAGGGCATGTATGCACACGTGTGCACACACAGAGTCCAGCCAGAATACCTAATGCCTTTTATCCAGAGAATTTTGGTACGTCTGACAATTTTTCTGTGAATCACCTTACCCAGCTATTAAATATTATCAACATCATTTTTAATAGTTTCTACTCCAATCACAATTGGCTGTGACTATTCCATGTCTTCTTGTTTTCTTTCTGGTAAATCATGTGGGCCAGCAGACACTGATGCCAGATCTGCTCACCTAAGGACAAGATATTAGAGACTAAACTAGAGGTAGACCACTTGGAACGTTTCTGGCTGTGTCTGTCCTGATGTGTTTAAAGCACCAACAGTGAAATCGAGAATATAGCACTGCTCTGGCTTTCCTGCCGTCTCCACACAGCAAGGTGGAGCAAAAGGCAGCCTCAGGGCACACAGTGCAGTCAGCAGGGGCTTTGGAGGGGTGCGGAAAGGATATAGAGGATGCCACCAGAATGATCCCAGTAGCCATATGTGAATGCTTCCTCTGTCCCTAGTATGTGAGGAAAGGCTCACTCCCTTGAATTACCAGGAGACTTATAAACTGCTCTCTTTGCATTTAATAGAAGGTTTGTGTGAGTGAGTGAGTGTGTGTGTGTGTGTGTGTGTGTGTGTGTGTGTGTGTGTGTGTGTGAAGGATCACACTTTGCAAAACCATTAAGGAGACTGAAACATCAGAAGAGCAAGGCTTGCATTTTAAATCACAAAAGAGAGGAATCTTTTGAAGAAATACAGATTTTTCTCTCCATGGTTTTCCTTATGACTAAATGGATCCAGGAGTTAAACTGACAGCTCCAGAACCAGGCATCTCCAAAGAAAGTTCATTCTGAGAATTCCAACTATGAGTGGCTTGGGGGGTTGTGTGGGCTGGGTGTGTGTGGAAATTACAGTTCTGCAGCCAGAAGGCAGTAACTTAAGTGCCTCCAGTGTGTGGTCGAACAATCCATCCACTGCTGCTTGGAGGTTTAAGCGTATGAGAATAAGACAGAATGAACTGAAATCACCCATGATTGACAAAATAAGGTCAGGGAGTTTTCAAGTTTTACTACAGGAAGGTTGACTTCCTGTCATGATCATCCAAACGAAATTGTGTTTAAATAATGATGCTCAAACCTGTAATGTGAACTGAGCGAAGTGAACAGTGAAAAGAAAGATGAAAGGCACTGTGTACACTGGAGTCTCTTTAATTGTGTTCCTGTATTCAGCAAAATGAATGTGCTCCCTACAACTAATGAGATTTGTGTTTTATGTTTGTAACCAGCAGAGGCAGCTGACGGTGATGAAAGACTGGACGGCATTTCTCTACCACCAACAGGTAAAACACATTTCCATTTCATCGCCTGCTGCAAGGAAACATTTGCATTGAAAATGCTTTTACCATTAGGGATGCAAGGGCTTGAGCAAGCTGCTTCTGGAATAGGCCCAGGTCCTCACAGTCCCCAGTTTCTTGGGGGCCTAGGTTCAGAGCTGTTTTTACATTGGATATGAAAAGCAATGTTTTTCTCACACCCTATTTCATATTCATAAAAATCTTAGAGATGTGAATCCTAAGGCATTAAAAGGCATTTTTAATATAAAACAATATTTAGCTTTAAACCAGGATTGTCAACTTCGTGTGACCAAATTCAGGCCCATTTTGTCTTACTCCACCAAAAGGCCTTTGAGAGGCATGCCTCTGCACTCTTGGCTTAGTAACTCCTGTGTTAAGTGTGATTGAACAAGTCAGCCCATCCGGTGTGAATAGCACACTCCTGGTATTTGAACCAGATCAGAAAATGCAACAGAGCACTGAAGCATTTGCTGCACACTTGTGTTCAACTGTGGGCTTGATTGTGACCTCATCGCAAGACTCTGGTCTGATGCCTCTGACCCTGACTTCCTGCCTGGGTATGAGTTCACACCCAAGAGTAAAAGAGTAGGTGCCTGATCAGCGAGCCATGTGTCAAACCATGTATCCCTCACTTAGTCCCGGGACTCCCTATTCGCTGCCCTTCAAAGATCGTCTGAATATTCCATCCATAAAATCCAGACAATCCAAACAAACCTTGAGCTATAAAAATAAAAAAAAAAAAAAAGCTCAATTCAGTGGGTTTTTTGTTTTGTCTGTTTTTCCTAGATCTGGGGCAGTGAGACTTGAATTAAATTGAGAAAATATGAATGAAGTATGTAGTATATTTTCAGGAACTCTTGGTGGAGTCCTGGTGGTCACATGGTCTTAATAACATGGGTCTTGGGGTGTTCACTAAAGTGAAGCTCATAGGTAAACTCAGAGTTGCCAGAAACCCCAGCCATGTAAATTACACCTTGCTTCTCTGCCTTGAGTAGCCAAATAACAGATCAATGGACAGATCAATGAAATGAGCCACAACAGTGCACAGAATATCTACGTATATCTAGTTCCTAGGATCTTCTTCTTATTTCTCTCTTCATTTGTCTGTGTTTCTGTGCTTGTGAGTGGAGGGAGTAGAATATGTGATCTCTGTTGTTCCTTACCACCCTCTGAGTACCAGGACAACTCATACTAACAATTCTTCTATCATCTTTGACCCATTCCCAGCAGGTGAAGGAAATACTAATATAATGATGAAATTATGGCTCAGGGGCCTTGAAGAGGAATGTCATACTTTCTAGTTGTCCCTTGGGCATCTGCAGCAGCTGTCCTGTGTCACATGACATAGTGGGCTCTTGCTTTATTATTGAAGACTGTGCATCTTGCAAATATACCTTTGTATTTAACTGTTTGAAGATTGAGGCAGAGATATTTCAGAGGAAAAGATAGCCCAGGGATGCTAGAGGAGTTTCACAGGACTGACAAGCTGCAAAGGAATCTGAAAATGAAGGGTGTAGTCAGAAGTCTCTGTCCTGCCAGCAACTCCCAAATACCTAGCAGCTGCTTCTCTGAACTACCACACAGAGGCTTTTACTAATTACAAATGCTCAGCCAGTAGCTCAGTCTTATTACTAACTAGCTCTTACACTTAAATTAACCCATAATTCTTATCTATGTTTAGCCACGTGGTTTGGTACCTTTTCTCAATATGACATTCTTGTCTTGCTTCCTCTGCATCTGCCTGGCAACTCCTGACTCCACCCTTCCTCTTCCCAGAATTCTTAGTTTGATTGCACCACCTATACTTCCTGCCTGGCTACTGGCCAATCAGCATTTTATTAAACCAATTCAAGTGACAAATCTTTACAGTGTACAGGAGCATTATTCCTATACAGAAGGGAACTTGGGAGCTCATCTGGACCAATCCCTCCTTTTTATCCAGCCCTTTTATTTTCCAGGGAAAAAAGCCTGAGGCCCAGAAACATTAAATGACTTTTCCAAGGTGTCACAGCTGGTGATAGCATGGCTGAGCCCAGTCTCCTCAACTCCCAGCCATTATAGCATAGGGCTTTCTTATACCTAACCCCAAACCAGCTTTCTCCGTATTTCTTAAAGACCCTGGGAGACGATGGGCGTGCAGTCCCATTAGGGTTCTGTTTTTAGTGCTTCGGTCTTCACATTACAATGTTTGGCATCAGTCTACCTAAAGTTCACTCCAGTGTAGCTCATTTCTTCACTTCCTTTTTTAAGTTCTGTTGAGACTCGGAGGTGATAAGGAAGTAGACTATTGATAGATACAGATACAAACTACTGAACAGCATGTTTTTTAAAGTATTTATCACTTTGGAAGAAGGGGGAAAGGGGTCATAGATTGGTTCTTAAATTTTGAGTATCAAATAATCTTGATAGCACACTTCATGGTTGCCTTCTAAAGTAAAATCCACAATGTGGCCCAGTTGCTATGGTTACAGTGTTGCTGCACATCACCCCTCCACATGCTCTGACACGGCCATCCAAAGCAGTGGACCCCTGTCATGTACACATAGTTGCAATGGCTCAGCCTCACTGCAGACCTGTGGAAACAACACATTCAGACCACATCCCCAGCTCCTCATTCATCTGAGCTGACAGAAGTTGATCCTTCGTGAAGATTCAGTGGTGTTCTTTTACTTTAAATGTCCTTTTGCTCCTTTAAATCAAAGAGAGATGAGGGAAGATGTTGCTGTGAGTCTGTAACGATCAGGGCAGAATTACATTCAGTCAGTCAGATGGCCTTTGTTTCCAGCTACAGTTAAGCCTCAAAAGGGGCCTCATGTAGCCCAGGCTAGCCTCTGGCTTTGCGTTCCTGATCCTCTTACCCCACCTCCTGAGGGCTGGGACACAGGCATGGACATCACACCCTGCTGAAATGTGTTAACCTGTTCGGTGAGCCTTGTGAGCAGCAGTCAGCACCGTCCTGGGGTCTGACACGGCCCTCAGCCGGGGCGGGACGGAAGCAACTACTTGCACACTGTGGCATAGATGTGGAGGAGCGGTCGATCAGGAACTGCTCCCAGAATCTGGGAACAATTGACGTTTAAAGAAAAAGTGTGCAAAGTCAAATCAAAATGGTTCCTTTTCAGTTTGAAGATTGGGCCTCTGGATTTGACAGGGTGACGTTTGTCTGGACTTAGCAATTTACATTATCAATCAGCGTTCTTTTGTGGGTTTTGTGTTTTAGAAAGCTCGAGTAAGAAAATGTACTTAATATTACTACTCAGAGACACTGTTAGTGCTGTTTCCCTACATTCAACTTTTCTCTATTTCGTTTATTTATCTAATGGAGATCAAATACATGGAGTTTGTCCTCTGAGTTCTTTGAGTTTCACCTAAGCATTTTTTCCCACTCTATCCAAGTCTGCACACACATTACTAGCTATTTAATAGTGTTTTCAGGTAAGTCATAGTTAGCTATTTTCTATTGCTGGACAATACTTCACTAATGGTAATATATAGTCATGGGCTTTCTTGTTTTAAAATCATCAAAACTTCCTAATTCTTGAGATCATTCATTTGGCACAGTTAAAGCTGATGCTTTAGTGACTTAACCGGACAGCACAGGTGTGTGCCCCACCCCCATCCCTTCTCCACCCAGCCCTGGCTGTGGGGGAAAATGCACAGCTCTGCCTTGGAGACACAGCTCCCTCATTGTGTTGTCTTTGTCGTAGGTAATGTGTTTGTCACCAGGAGAGAGACCGTGGAGGACCCAGAGCCAGGTTCCATCGCCTAGACTTGGATTGTAGCACACTCTTGCGTTTTCTCAAAGGTCCACGGAGGAGTTGAGGTTCCTGCAGTGTGGGTGTTCTGTGGTGGCTTGTCCTGTCTGAATAATTTCTTTGTAACATGTGGTATCACAACTCCAATTTGGCATAATCTTTTCTTAAAAGAAACCATGCTTAGAGTTGTTACCTTTTAAAAGTCCAGCGTGTGTGACCCATCATAAAGAAGCAGTTCTCTTCCCATTTTTATTCATTCATAGTCTCTGCGTGATACAGTCTTTTTGAACATATTTATTTGATTGTAAATGCGTAGCTGCATGCAGAGGAAACCTTCTCTTTCCAGGACTGACGGAGGTTACAACGCAGCCCTAACTAACCCTTCAGCTTAGAGAAGGAAAGGCCGTTCTGGGCGATGGGCTGGCCCTGACCTGGTCTGTGAAGTCCTGTATGACGTCAGTCAGAGTAACCCAAAACAGTCCTTCAGAACTGAAGTACCAATGAGGTAGGAGTTTTTAGGAAATAAAGCACTTTCACATAATTTATGATGATGTAGTTACAAAAACGTGAAAGTAACCAGCCGCCAAGCAGTTGAAGACGGTTTAAATGGAGTGGCTTTGACCCTGTGTTCATGTTCGTTCTGTAGCTTATTTGGTCCCTCATACACTTGCCTTCCACTTTACGTAAAAGTCAATATGAGAAAAATCTGGGTTTATTTTAAAGAAATCTTTGCTGTGTGGATATTTGTTTTACAGAAATATTTACCTCCACATTTGTTTTGCTAATGAAATAGTGCATTGAAAATACCACTCATTTAGAAAACCTCGCATTTACACCTTATTTATCATGTAAAGTAAATTGCCTTGAATCTTGGGCACTTGACACAGAAAGCCAAAATTGCCATAAAAGTCATGTATGTGACTGTCAATCCACCCAACCCCAGGGATAAAAACTTCCATGCCAGACACTTAGCCTTTCCCGAGTGTTCGTTTCAGCCGCGGGTGAGAACACCCAGTTAACGCTGCTGGGGCCGAGCCCCCCCCCCCCTGCTTTGCCTGACAGAACTGAGAATTAGGGATGCGGTTGCCTGGGGTCAGGTCACCCTTCGTGGCCAGCTGGACACAGAACCTGGACCTCCAGTGTACCGTGTTACCTCATACTGAACATGTACTACTGAAGATGGGAGGACTAGGGCAGTACTCCACTGAGACCAGCTAATCAATGAAGATGGTGTGTGATATCCCTGGAATGTGACAACATGTGATTTTAGGTGTTGCTTGTAGTCCATTTAGCAACTAGACAGCAACATCTCATATGTGTTCCTTCTATGTCTCCTTCTTTGGAAGTAACAGGGACAGCTTGGAAATTTCCCATCACATCCTTCAGTTACTGATTTATGTTTCCAGCCGGTCCTAAACCCTTTGTTTTATTGAGTGGACTGATGAGTGGCAGACATACCAGGACTTTCATTTAATTCTGCAACAGTTCCTGAAAGAAAAAAAAAAGTCTTCTGCCTCCTAGAATGAAATACTCCTCAAGGGAATAGAGAAGCTGAATTAGTACCCTTCAGACTATGAAATGGGGGTGAATTTGTTTTCAGTACAGGGAGAACATATACTCACCACTGTAGGCCTGATCAATATGCACTGTAAACCTTCAGAACACACTTCCTTCGGAGCCTCGGTGACAGCGTGGAGTTCATGGTACTTGAGGAGGGTAGGCATAGTTCAACTCACAGATACGTGCAATGGATTCACAAATTGGAAAGGCAGATCAAAACTGCAACAGTAAAATCATACTTTGTAAGTTTAAATTGTATTTGTGTTAACCTACTGTGACTACTGTTCAGCTTTGTTCAGAAACCCTTTTTATAGGCTTTCTTAGCAAAAAAAAAAAAAAGGTCCATATCTATGGATGTGTCTCAACCTTCTGTACATATGTTTTATTAATATGTAAATATTCAGATTTTTTAAAATTACTATGTTCTTTTAAAAAGAATTCAATGCAAAGCTAGTTGTGAAAATGGTGTGTAACACTGTGTTGTGATATCAACTCCCAAGATGCCCTTTATGTCCCTTCTGGAAAAATAAAATAAATTACTTTAATTGAATGCACGTGTGTCTTGCTTGCATCTCAGTCTTCTGTGTTTATGAAGTCTATGCTGTTCATTAATTAAAAGGTATTTATGAATATCCTGATGATTTTTCTTAGGAGTTATGCCTCTGTGGAAAATTATGTTTACAAATAATGCAAACAGATTTCTAGCAGAGTGAGAGTCTGGTAGATGTTAGAGTCACAGCTCTGTCTGGCAGTCTGATCAATGGCTACAGCAAGTCCCGCTGAAACACTCGGGCATTAAGTAGTGAGAGGCTCAAAGCCTAATTTTAAATGAATTAGGTAGCCTTTTAATCTTCACTTAAAAGGTTAAGCCCTGCTTCTATGGAAACAACACACCAGAAGGCCAGATCAATCTCTGCCAGTGTCAAGTGGCAGCTAAAGCGGACTGTGCTGTTCTCTTCTCTCAGCACAGGGGGCGCTGTGCCTCGCTTGGGACTGCTCCAGTCTTGTGCCCAAGTGCATACTCAGTCCCCTGCCCAGAGCATGTGGCACTCCCAGGCCGGGATCTGGCTCCACTGGGGATTTACTTCAGGGTCTGTTCCAAGAAGAGGCCTTTGAGCTGTTTAGAACTGGAATGGTGACTTGTGGCGGCAAGGGGTAGCTGTTACTAAGAACACAGCTGGACCGGAGGAAAGGAGACAGCAGAGTGAGCTGTTTGCAAAAGAAAATCTGCAGTCCATATAAATCTTCACACTCTTTTTTCCCTATTTGAAGCTGGGAGCCTGCCACAAGCCATCCCCTCCCACCATGTACCCTCTCCTTTGTGGGTCCCTTGTATCCATGAAAATACTTGTTGAAGGATCCATGTGATGCTTTAGTGCCCAGGGTCACTGGGATGCACACGTTCCCTTATGCTGGCAAGGACTGGTCCTAGCAGAGGGCCTCCAATGGCCTTTCTAATCTGGTGTGAACAAGGGAGTGTCCACAGTAGGAGGACCCACTAGCAGGGGAAGCCCAACAAATGGGTCAAGTGGTCTTCCTCCAGTGCCCCAGCCTTACCAAGTGATTGACTGGTGCCATGGGCTTATTTCCCAGCTCCACCATGTACCCATCACAACCTGGTCAGACCCTGTGATGGCTTCCGGACAACCAGGTTGAGGTGCAAGGGCCAAACTGGAGAGGTACCTTGCACCAAACTGTACCAGGCTCCTTCCCTCCCAAGACATTAGGACATCAGGTCAGCCACTGGAACAGTTTGAGTAAGGTCCTGGTTAGTGTCTTATGCTGATCCATTTGATTGAAGTAGGGGTCAGTCCTCTGTGGGAAGAGCTATGGAGAGAGATAAGGAACACAGGGCAAACCCAGCCGCGTGCATGCGCAAGAGGAGAAAACAAAAAGTGACAAGTTTGGGTTGGAGAATGGAGGGAGGTGCTAGCTGGGCTTGGACAGTGGAAGGAGGTGCTAGCTGGGGCTGGAGAATGGAGGGAAGTGCTAGCTGAGGCTGGAGAATGGAGGGAGGTGCTAGCTGGGCCTAGAGAAGGTGCTAGCTGGGCTTGGACAGTGGAGGGGGTGCTAGCTGGGCTTGGACAGTGGAGGGGGTGCTAGCTGGGGCTGGAGAATGGAGGGAGTGCTAGCTAAGGTTGGAGAATGGAAGGAGGTGCTAGCTGGGGCTGGAGAATGGAGGGAGGTGCTAGCTGGGGCTGGAGAATGGAGGGAGGTGCTAGCTGGGGCT